GGGAACCGTGTCTCCTGTCATCCACCAGCAGGCACCGAATATCTGCCACATCTGCCAAGTTAGAACAAACAGTCTTTGAAAGAAACAAATGAATAAGTTCTTCGTATTTATTGTGCTGCCTGTTAGTACAGAAGGTAGGTCAGAGAAATGTTCCTGTAAAACCAGGGCGGTTACATTTGCTTAAACCTGTAAGATTTTTAAATCATGTTGTACATGTTCTTTAAGTAATGAAGTAACTTAGTTCCACCCACAGGAGACTTGCTATACTACAGCTTTAAAAGCTAGTATTTGTAGATATATTTCTTTATTTGTATTAGATGTATGAGAGTAATATTCTACTCTCTGACACTTTTTAATACATTTATATTTCTCTTCACAAAAATGAAATCAGAAATCAGTCCTCAAATCATCAGAGATTGCGTCTTGCCTTTGTTACATGCAAGTGGATTTAAAGTTGGTGAGTAATTAACGATCATCTGTCAAGGCTGAACAAGCCTCCTGTCCTCTGATGGCAAAGCTCCAGGCAGGAGACTGAGCGGTGACCTGCACCGATGCCGTCACTCCTGCCAACCCCAGAGAGGAGTCATGTTGCTTTGACACCCAGAGGATGGACAACAGTGATCACACATGAACAACAAGGACACAAACAAACAGTGTCTGTCGCGAAGATACCGAAGAGGCAGACATTATGATCCGTGATGTTTTCTCAGGATATATCACATGTGCATTTGTGGTTAACTTGTCTTAAAGATGTGATGGACAGACACATAGGAAAAAAAAAGTGCCAACACCATGAATAGATTTTTCTTCATATTTTTGGATTTGTGGATTTGACATTTTAATCTAAATTAAGTGAAATTAATGTCTGAACGGATCCACTTGTCGACTTACTCCCAGCTTTATCAGTATGAACAACATTCAGTGTGGACTCCGCCTAATGTTGATGGTGATGATGATGAGGAGCGATAGGTGGCGGTATTGAGCCGCATGGAGTCAAAGGATTTATTGCATAGCAATCCTGTCACTGTTTCCTGCAGGCGGGCTTCATCATGTCCTGCCATAGTGTTCTGTTATATTGGATTTAATCGATTTATATATTGCACAGCTCGTTTTATATGTGGAGGTGTATCGGTGTAGCCTGTTCTACCTGTGGGAGTTGTCAGTAGACACGTACTCTTGAGCTTAAAGTGCTTTTCACTGTTTTATTATCTCAGAAATATTTATTCACACCTCTCATTTCACCCCGTGTATCTGATGCACAGGCTGAAACACCCGCAGTCGTTTCAGGCTAACGGCTCACAGCTCTCTCTCTCTCTCTCCTCGTGTTTCTCCACTGTCCTCCTCTCCTTTGCTAATCCCAGCTGCCGTGACCTCTGACCCCTGGCTGGCATCTTATGTAAGGAGCTGGTTAAGGAAAGCACACGGGGGAGCATCCCGTGGTCTGTTGCGCCAGGTTAGGTAAGCTCATTAACACTTACTACCAGGACGCTAAAGGTAACAACAACAGCTACAAATAAACCTCGGTAGTGGGAAGACTAAAGCAAAGAAGCGATAAGACGAGATGAAGGTGTCGGCCTCTAAATATTCCCTGTTTTAAGGCTCGGGATGTTTTCAACTTGGTTGTCACGGTGATACTGACACTGACACTTGCTGTACATTAAACAAACAGTATGAGGTGGTGTGCGGGGTTTGTGTGTCTGCATCCGATTACACTCACCTCGCTGACATGCAATAGTCTCTTGGCATCGGAGAACAGAGACTACACACCATGTGTAAGGGTAATGGCCAAATTTGAATTTGTTCCTCTTTTTAAAAGTACATGACCTCCACTGTAGGAACATCACTCCCCCCCCCCCCCCCCCAATACAGACACACACACACACACACACACACACCAAAACACTACCCTCTAACTGCCTTCCCCATCTGTCCTTCCTCTATGAGGGAGAGGGTGAGTCACTCTGCTCCAGCAGCCCAGTGCGCAGCCATTAAAGCAGCTGAATAATCACACCATCGCTTTCACCAAAGCATCTCCGTTTTCCTGCCGAAGTCAAACACTCACATCACATCACAGACGCAGGAATAGTTTGTCCTTTGCCACTCTCTCTTTCTTCCAGGCTACAGTGTGAGACCCCTCCTCCCAGTGAGCCTGTGTTATGATTACAGCTGACAGTGTGTACTCTGCGGTGGTAGACACACTGTCGTCCTCCAGTGTGACACATTTTTTAACAATAGAAACAATCTTGCAGTTGTGTGGAGTCAATATAATCCTCTTTTGTTTCCATAGTGCTAGAGACAGTAGTTTTCGTCTAACTGCCTCTTGAAGAAAAAAAAATCTGTCTGTCTTCAGAGTTTTTCCACAGAACAAAATCCGCCCTACTAAAATTGGACAAATGATTTCCTCTTGGCGTCCTTGTGTTTTTAGGTCTAACTGCAGGCTTTGACAGTGCAGACCACATTATTCCGACGCATTGGCTAAAGTGCAAAGTGTCTCTCTGGTCCTGCTTTGGACTGTGTTCCCTCATATTTATCTGATACAAACCTTACGTGCAGCTTCCAGTGGGAATTCATGCTCATCTTCATCTTCTATATCCTGCAGGCTACCCTAAGGCTTAGTGTGCCCCATTTATGCTTATTATTAAAAAAAACAAAAAACATCTTTCCTATTATAATGTCATTGATATCTAATTTAATCTCCCTTTAAAGCCCATAAAAAACTGGTTTCAAATTTCATGTGTTTCTGTATAATATCATCTAAAATAAATATTCATGCCCTAATAAGCAACCACCGTACCTTAGAAAAATGGGCCTTTAAAGTTCAATAATGCAAATAGTTGATCATATTTCAGTAACTGCCCCGAGGACATGAAGTATTGGGTGGCTCAGGGCTTTCTCCAGCTGAATAAATAAATCAGAAGTTATTTCATTTCACCAAACTCAACCTTGGTTATTACTTAAAGGTGCCCTGTGGTGCTTTATTGAAAACACAAAGTTTCTGTTTATATTAAGGCTGCGTCCACACTCCTACGTTTTCATTTGAGAACGGTGTTTTAAAACAAACACAATCTCTGTCCAGACGATCGTTTAAGCTCCGTATCAGAAAGGATCTGACCGTACTAACACACCTGAAAACGCACATCAGATGACCATTCACCTAAACTGGGCATGCGCGTACCGGTGTAAACAGGAAGCAGGTTGTCTACTCTGCAGTTGGGTAGTTGCAGAAAATACTACGTACGAGGAAAAGTAAAAAAAGGCAGTTGTAGCATTAAAATGCAGAATTAAACTGCACAACAGCTGCTAGCAAAGACAACAAGGTCAGTGACCCTTGTAACTTGTTATCCATCTTGCTTTCACCACTGGTAGTGGAGGCTGATACGACCCAATAGGAAAGCAAAACCAGTGTCTCCGTCGTTGTTTCTAAAAGTCTCAGTTTCTGCCGGTCCAGGCTTCAACGCAACACTGGAGATTTCAAACTAAAACGGAGCCGGCAGAGTTTCCAGAAGTCTCAATTCTAGCCGTTCGTAATTGTAAAGTGATGCGTTTCAGACGTAGCGTCAGTGTCAGCCTCATTCAACACGTTAAATACGTTTTCCTTCCTCATAAAACAAATTTACAAAACAGATTTTTTTTGATTGGATAATTTTGAAACTTGCGTTGTTTACATCCATGTTTACTTGCTAGCTGTCTTCTTTCATTGCTGCATTTCTTTAACACCGCCTGTAGATCAGAGGAAGAGTGTGAAACCCTTGGCAGGAACGTGTAGAGCGTCACCCGTATGTTCATGCAAATGCACATGAGCAAACAAATCCGCCGCCCACTCGCAAAAACCTGGTTTGGTAGCTCTACTAGTAACACTGTGTTCCTCTTACATTGAACCATATACAAAAAATGTGTAATACTTTGATTTAGCATTGAAACTTGCTGAGTTCATTTAGCTCCAAATGAGGATGTTTTCTTTTTGTGACTCAGTGACGTCATATCCCAAGACGTCAATGACTTTATATTGTGGTAGCACTTAGGCTTTTATGTTTAACATCCACAACTGTCCGAACCGCTACAGCAAAATACCAAAATCAGAAAAAAAGTTATTGTTTGTTGTTTCCTCCATTCACTGCTCCCCTTTTATTTGCGGCGTCTTTGTATAAAAAAGCTCTGCATGTTCTTATCCCAGCATATATGTGTCTAAAATCCTTTCCCCAAGAAACCTGAGGCCCTTTTATCTGGGCTTTCATCTGTCACACATTCAAGGACAAAATCATATGGTTCAGTAGCTGCTTGAAAATCATGGAATCCCTTTTCCTTTTCTGTGGGATTTTTTTCAGCCTATTCAAGATTTCCACAAAGGACTTAAAACACTCTTCCCCTTTTCGGCTTTTAAACAGTGCCTGACCTCTTGTTTTCGTCCCGTGTTCGTCCGTATATCTGTGCGTGAATGACGTATTTGAACAACGTTTTTTTGCTCAAATGCCCTAAATATATATATATATATATACATATATATATATATAAAAACTTGAATCAGATTTCAGGGATTGTACAAAAATGTCCATTAACAAACATAAATATAAGGGAATTCTGCAATTGATTTTTTCTAACGCAGATCAGATTGAACATTTAGATGCACTCTGGTTAAAATATAAGAAGATATTTTGCTAAATAGTTCATTATATCATGTGAGACCTTGTATAATATGTATGCAGTTGACTGTGGAGTGTCTGCTTGAGGCAAGCCGAGAGGTGCTAAGGCATCAGGGGACAGCAGCCATGTGACCATGGTTGCAGGGATTGGTTTAGTGCAGATGTGACATCAGCGAGCCTCCCACTCCCTCCCTCCTCCCCTCTCTCTCCCAGTCTTTCTCTTCCTCTCTGCCTCTCTCTCTCTCTCTCTCTCTGTACCGCTCTGTTTTTTTTTTTTCCCTTTGCCTTTCCTCAGCATCCCCCCCTCTCAGAGATGGCGTGTGTCGGTGCTGCTCGGGCGTCCGGGGCCTAACGCGCACACTGAGAGGACCCCCTTCCCCCCGATCTGCTGCATATTCCTCGGTTGTCTCTTCTCACTGTGTCCTCCGCCGCTGCTGCTGCCTTTCAGCTCTGCCCCCACCCCACCTCCCTGTGCGGGTGTCTGGGGCTTGGGCCCTTGGGGGTGGAGGGAATCAACATCGTGCTTCGCTGGGGAGCTGTGCAGAATTAGCTATGCCCTGCCCAGGCATCCTTTGACCGACTGGATTTCTCCATTTCTGTTCGCCTGCACACCGGAGGGCAACGTAGGATGAAAATCTGCAATCATGATGCAAGGTGAATTATCTGTACACTCCTACTCCTCCTTCATTTTCCATGTTTTGTACCCCTGCGTCCTCTCCCTGCCCTCTCGTGTCCTGCTGGGCCATTAAAGCTCATGAATCCAGTGATGTGATCTGTCTTGCCGTGTGGACCTCTGGACCAACTGAGCTATATACAGGACCAGTGTGACAATGTGGCCGTTGTGTGTGTGTGTGTGTGTGTGTGTGTGTGTGTGTGTGTGTGTGTGTGTGTGTGTGTGTGTGTGTGTGTCTATGAGACGTTTGTGACAGATTGAGAGAAAATGCATGTGAGATGAAAGCGAAGATGTGTGAGGAAGGCAGAACTGACATTCGCAGCAGTGTAGGACCTGCACTTGCTGATGTCCTGCTGTGTTGGTGTGAGTTCACACATGTGACTGTGCATGTCTCTGTTTGCATGCGCGGATTATAGTTCTGTCTTTAGTTACACGTTCAGTCGGTGTCATATAAATGCTTATTTGAGGAGAAGTCTGAGCGGTCCAGGAAGCTGCACTCATTCATACCCCTGCTGCTGTTGCCATCAGTGCATAATATTATTTCATGCCAATCGGATAAGTGAACCTTAAACCATACATTACTAGGCACCCAGGTTGCATATAGGACCAAAGTTAACAGTGGTGGAATGCGGTGCAGTGCTTTATAAACTATGATAGAGGAACTAAAATATAGATCTAACCCTGCATGACAGATGCTGGGCCTTTACCATCCATTAATGCCAACGTGGTAATGGAAGGTGGCTATTATTAGCAAAAGGCCTCCAGTCAGCCTGCCATGATATTGTACTCAGCTCGAAGAAATCCACACTCAACACAGATGTCACATGCCTATCATGGCCTTTGTTAGCTACACGTGCATTGCTAATTACCCAGCGAAGGCTGTCAGGTGGAGTTAGGGACATTCAGTACATGTTATTTGGACTCAAACATGGCTGCAGCAATAACCACCTTCTTGTTAATGCAGCATGTGCGTTTATCAATATCATCAAATACAGTATCTCAGGAACATGGATTATTATTAATTTGTCCAAATGACCCTTTTTTGAACTGTAAGTTTACTTCTAGGATGATACTGCTGATTTTTTGTCTCCGACACTTAAATAAAAGTATCACATACATTATTTTACTGCTGATCATTTTCCAGAGCTTGCAGCAAGGTTGCAGTTAATGTTTGAATATTTGAGACCATGTTGAGATGGGTGCTCCGTTGCAGTGAACATTTACAAAGAGGAAAAAGTGTAGAATGGATCACCTGACCGTGTTTGTGGAATGAAGTGGGTGGAAAAGCTGTAGAAGAAGAACAGAGCTATAGGATAAACCAGCAGTTCACTGGTACAAGAGATCAGTAGGTGGAGGCAATGTGCCACTTGTTTGTTTGCCAGCTCACAAAGAAGAAGTTCAGTTGTTAGATGTTCAGTGGTAAAGTGAAATATTTCTATAGTTTAACATTGTCAAATTACAAATATAATAAAGGTCAGAACAACAATACAGAGAATAAAATGTTGAACTTACAGGTGCCACAAAGGTGTTCCTTCAAAAAGAAATTGAAGCACAGGAACTGGAGTGCATGGAAAGTGCATCAGTGCTGTGACATGATGAGCAAATCTGTCCAGGACAATGTTCAAGACTAGTCGGTCCTGACCTTGGTTGTACTGCTCCTGTCTTTATTCTTCATTTCGAACCGTCTCTCTATCACTGGCTGCCGAGTTGTTGAAGTAGGCAGTGTTGCTGTGGCAAAGGTTCGTGTGTAAAGAACGACAAGAGGATAATTTTCACACCTTTTCACAACTGACAGGCAGCGTGGAAAACTGACAGACCGTCTGCTGTAGGAATTTATAAAAATCATGGGACACTTTCCTCAGACGCAGCTGAAAGCTCCGGGGGAAATCTTACATCAGTTACTTAGATTATTTCCAGAGCTTTCAGCTGCATCATCTGTTGATATGAAAGCCACAATATGCGGCTGAAATTCAGTAAGTGGACCCTGAGTTAAGAATTAATTTTTTTTCAAAGTAGTAAAGTTGGATGTCATGAAAAGGATAATATTTTGTGGCAGAGTAATAGATGCAAAGCTACGGGGAAACCAGCGTGTGGTTTGGAGTCAGTGTGCAGGCGTCACTTTTTTCTCAAAGTTATTTAGATTTAAAAAGTTGCTGTTTAATGATCTTGAGTCTTAAAGAGACATCTGGACATTGACCACAGAGAGAAATGGCTTCAGTCTAAGCAACTGTTGTGCAAACATTGTTTACATATGTCTAGAAGCTTGATAATGTGCATTGAAACTAGGGGTGTTGGGATTTACCAGTATTGACGATTACCGTGATATTTAAAAAAAAAAAAGAAATATTGATATTGTGTTAATCATACACATATGATCATTTCAAGATGGCAGATGTTTGGCCTTGTAGATCTTTTGTTCATCAGATTATCAGGTCGCCTTTTCATCATTACATGTAATTGTTCTTTTTGTATGTTTTTGAACAGTTACAGTTAGTGACTCTCTTTCCACCTCCCTACACTCATATTTGAGTCTAATTCATTTGCCAAAAAAGAGACTAAAAACAAAACAAACAAAGTTAAAGATGAATTTGACAAATAGCCTCATTATTATTATTATTATTATTATTTCAAATTTTCTACAGATATAGCAATAATATCGTCAACTTGAATTCTTTTGGCCACGATAATTCTGTAGTGAAAATCTGAAAATTATGACGGTCCTGTGTGAAACCCTATTTAGAAAGTTGTGCTACAGTAAAAATGGTGGTGCATCTTGTTATGTTATACTGGTAAATGCTCTGCAGCAATATTAAGTATGTGCCATTTGTAGTACGGAGGGAAAAATGTGAAATAATCACTCTGTTCCTGGTAAAAAACTGTGAATTAACCGAACTCAAGTATATTTACAGCTAATACTAATTACATAATTACTATGATCCATCTGTTTAATGAGTGTTTTAGAGCTCTCCTCAGGCAGACTTTGTAAATGGGTGACAAAAACAAGTAGTCCTCTGATGCACAACATTGCCATGCAGTCAGTGACGTGCTGCTTCAGTGTGTGTCACATAGAGCAGGTTTCTTACGTATCAATGTCAGGATCGATTCTCTATTTTTATTCCTCATCACACAGGACACATGCAGGTTGGGAGTGGACAGAAGGATCACTGTACAGAGCCGTCTCCATTGATGAAGAGCCATGATGCAGGAATAATCTGTTATCTGCTATTGAGCAGCCCAGCTAGCTACTAATACATCACAGGCCCTGACATGTCCTTCAGTACCCAGGAGAGCTTCCTCCCAACTGAATGGGCCACAGTGCACCATCTTCACATTTATCCTATTAGTCTTGATATTTATATATAAAATGCAAATCAGTGATTCACTATTTATTTTGATTTTGAGGTCAGATTCATTTTAAAGTAAGCATTAAAACACCACAACATTAGAGAGGAGAGGACTGTGTATAGAAAAATCTTGTCATGAAGTAAATGAGCCATCAACAATCCAAAATGTGTGTTCCAGTTTGAAACACAGCCCACAGATTGCAAAAAGAGATGATGAACGAAGAAACCGAGCTGCCTCTGAAAAGCACAAAATGTTCATCCACCCAACTGTCCATCACGTGTCCCTGTTGCTCTTGTATGGATGTGAGAATCCACTGTGCTCACTGGTCGTCTAAAACACTGTTATGTAAACCTGTCAGTTGCCTGTTTGGGGAAAACATGCAGCACAGCCAATAAATCAAAATAGAAAAAATTTTTTTTAGATGTCTGCCATTTTACGTCCTTACATGGAAAATATCGTTTTTTTATAAACTTTGAAAAGTGCTTTCCTTTATCAGAGATGTTATCATTAAGTGTATCTAAACCTTTGACCTGAGAAAAGCAGAGTTGTCAGTGTGAGTTCATCCATTAGGATCCACAATTTCTCAAGAACACTTCGGTTCGGACCAAAATATCTCAATAGCTATTAGAAGAATTACCATGAAACATTCATGATCCCCAGAGGATGAACCATACCTGCGTTGTGGTCCTTTGACATATTGTCGAGCAGCACCAGCTGGTCCAGGTCTTATCCAGTGAAAGTCTCTCCACCTAGCTTTGCCCCAAAGTTTCACGCTAATTAGCAAATGTTAGCATGATAACACACTAAGCTAATATGGCAAAACATGCTTGTCATGGACCAGAGAGGAAAGGCTTGAGAAACCAGGGCCCTATTCCACCGAGGCAGATCTTTCCCGGCTTACATCACTGTGGCTTATAGGATTCCCTGCTCAGTAACCATGGTAACTGATCCTGCTGAACTAGCCCTCTCCGTAGCCGGCTAACTGTCAAGCTTAACTTAGCTGTGTTGCAATGAAATCCCAACAGGTGCAAACAGAATCCCAAAAGACAGCTCCATCAAGTGTCTCTTTGTCACGTCTGTGTTCAGAGACTTGGGTCGACCCCCCAAAGAATAGTTTGATACTTCAGCCAGAAAAAACATTATTTTTTAGTGTGTAGGCTGTATGTTTATGAATTATACAGGATAGACTGAGATGGTTATTTATGTAGAAGTTGTACATTGTGTATTATTAATAATGTAGGCTATCAATCATATTAATGTTTTTTATAATAGATAACCATCTTTACCTTCAGCCCAAAATCTAAGTGAATGGATTGAATATTAGCATGATCAATCTGCTGATTATTGCCTCGTTACCTATGATGGTTATCGTATAACATAGGCTAACAAAGACTATAATATAGGCTACAGTTGGCAATATACAACTGAACGTTTATTGCCTTTATATTCTGATCACAGTGAGAGAAAGGATGACATGCAGGTCAGACTCAAACCTGTGCCACTGAGGTTATGATTGACTTTGATGACGTGCGCTCTGCCAGGTGAGCTACCAGAGCGCTGTATTACTGACTTTACCTGAAGGAGGTGAGCACACGTGTATTTTCTCACAGCACACAGAGCTCTTCAGTTACTGCTCATTGATAAACTTCTCCAGTCCACCTGTAGTTGTAACTGGTTTGATTTTATTTGACATTACTTTATTCATGTATTATACTGGATGGGTGGTGACCCTGTTTGGTGGTGACCCTGACGCAGGGTTTGCTCTGCTGCTGAGAAGACGACGGCTCTTGTTTCCCCCTTCTTTCTGTGACATCATCTAGGACTGTTCTGGGCTGCTTGTGCAGTCTGTGTGTGCGCATAATGCAGCTTGTTCAAGCCTGGTTTGAGTTAACGTTGACTGGACACGGCTGAATAGTGAAAGTCGGCGTTAATTCTAACCAGGCTTTTTCAAGTAAGTGCAGATTTCCACAGTGACGTTGATGGAATATCCCCCAGGTGTGTAAAGCAAAAAAAAAATAATTTCAATTTAAGAAAAATTAAGTTCTCAAAATACAAAAAATAGAAACTGCAGAAAATAATTTCAAAACTAGGGCCCTTTAACTTAAACTGCTTAAACTGCCTTTAACTAAACAGCAAAGCTCCTCAAAACTGACCTAACACTACAAAGTAACTACTGGTTTCAGGAGTTGTCATGGGTGTCATTGGAGCTTTTCATTCATTGTACATCATAGTTTTCTAAATGTTTGACTATAATATTACATATGGAATCTCACTTCTCCAAGAAAACGTTTTGCACGCATTGAATTGTGTCTCTTTGCTGGTTCTCCCACTTGTCTTGATTTCAGTGCTGTGCAGAGCCAACAGTCGGTGCTGCAGGGGTGCTGGTGTCCAGTTTGGCTGACGGGCTGCTGTAGTAGATCTCTCCACCACTCTCTGTCGAATCTCGCTAATGAAGTGGACAGATTGATCAGCCTTTGCTCGTGTTTCCTTTCCAGTCTGTATTGTCAGGGAGGGGACACTTAAGGGGATTGCATTGCTTCATTTTATGCGGAGGCTCTCTCCAGATGACATGATGTTTGTTTGTTGATTTATATCAGTGTACTGAGGTTGCTGTATTTCCTGTGTATCCTCAAGGATACACCAGCCTGTTACCTGTATGTGTTATTTGCTTTTAAGTGCATTTTAATGACAAGACAGTTCATTTTATATGTGGCTTTAAAAGTTTAAATTAATTCTTCGTGATGTTGTTATTCTCTCTCTCGTTCACTTTGTTAGGACTGAAAAACCGAACCAGGAAAGCCCTGGGTTTACGAAAGAAAGACAAGGATACAGACACAACGTGAGTTTGCTGAGACACACACTTGTAACACAGTGAACATGTAAGGTCTTACAGCCGTTACAACTTTGAAAACAACTTTTTGAGAATGTAAATGAATGAGACCGGGTATCAAACCTAAATTTGTATCTGATCTTTTTTTTTTTTTCATTCCCTGATGAGAGAGTTTCTGATTTAGATTTTATTCAAAGTTCTCATATTGCTGCTTGTGTTTGGATATTTAACATTTGAGAACTCTGACCCTCTTTTTTTTTTTTGATTGAAAAGTATGTGTTTCTCAAAATAAGGTATTGAAAAAATATTGTTTTGGAATTGGTACGACGGCTCATATTAGATGATACCTCAGATGGAAAGAGAAAAATTCACCTGAGTACTGTGAAAGCATTTTTCCCCCTCTCCTGTCGCCTCACACAGGAGCTCACCTGACCAAGAAGGAACCGGAAGTGGAAAGAAAGGAAATGTATGTACATTTCTAAAAATGTCCTTTCAGTTGCCTTTGAAAAGATTTGATGCCATTTAAGAGAAGGAATCATACAAATACATTAAATAATAAAGTGCTAATTGATATTTTTATGTACAACTGCCACTGATTGACATTGTGTTGCAACAAAGTTTTGTTACTGCCTTTTAAAGGATAATTCATGTTCTTTTACAACGTGGGTCTGATTTTTGTTATAACTCTCTGATGAGTCTGAGGCAAGAAAAATGAGTGGTCAACATTCACACAGGTTATTAACAAACCAACCGTTTAGCAAGTTTACCCGAACCGCTTTATTCAGAAGTGAAACAAAAACATAAGCTCAGTAAAAATGTAATAATTCCTCATTGCACAGGAAAAGTGTGTGAACACAGAAGTACTGTCGCTTTGGGTAATTTAATAATTTCACCATTTGCTTTTCTTTTCTCTTCTGAATAACTTTGGCTAACCTGGGGTTTTGTCTAAAAACCTGTCTGATCATCTGACTGCTTGTGTTTTTTGCCCTGTGTAACTTATTAATAGCGATTTTGCTACATTCATATATCTGAGTAATTAAGTTTCGTGTAGATTAATTACCAACAGGAATGATGGCCAAACCCCAATCTGTAATAGTCAGACTCTGCCTTCAATGATCCAGATTTTATTTATTTATTTGTTTATACAATAATGTGCACTTGCACATTTAATGCTAATATTACTTGTTAACTTAAATGTAAAATGATTCTCTTGTTGTTCTGTCTCGTCTCCATTTTGTTGATAGAAAAAGGCCAATGGGGCTCCCAATGGTTTCTATGGGGAGATTGACTGGGACAGATATGTAAGTATGCACAGCCGACTCCTTGTTTTGCTCATACCCCTTATTTCTAATGTTTTTGACTCTGCAGCTTTGTGCATGAAATATACGCGTGCTGTTGCAGTCAGTGTCGTGTAACGCTAGGTTTTAAATTACTGAGTAAACAGTGCAAATAGAGCGATAGCTGCATATTCTGTGAGTCAGCAGGAGCTTCGGCCAGGAAGCTGACTGTCTCAGGCAAGACATCTGTGAAATCTGATCCACATTTATATGCAGAGCTGGTCAGAGGGAAGGTTTTTAGCAGAGCCTCTGTTACGGTGTGTGATGGACTAGAAAAGACTGTCACCCTTCTCTCTCTCATGCAGGCCTCCCCTGACGTGGATGAGGAGGGGTTCAGCCTCCGGCCCGGTGACGAGGGCGATGATATCCTTTTAGTGAAGAGTAGAAGCAGTGACAGGAGCAGTCTTGGGACTTTTCTCCTGCACAAACTATTGACCCGTTTGGCTGAGTGACTTATTGGATGAGTGTTTCTCAGCATTAAATAGGCCAAATCAATTGCCCCTCCTTCTCTCGCCACATCACGTGTCCCTGCAGTGGCAAAAAAGAAAGGAGCAGGAGGGCAGCCGGTGAGAGCCACATTACATTTGGATTGTCACTGAGCCACAGTTCTCATTAACGAATGACCCGCAGTTCACTGGTATTTTAAGTTTTTGCTCCCGCAGGTTTCAGCAGCTGTATGTTTGAATTGGATTCATAGAGAGCTGGCACCACGGAGACTTCCCCTGAGAAGGATGATTTAGCTGAGACAGTGTCAGTTAGCAGAAGATGGAGACGCAGAGCGAACGTCTCTCTCCTGTGCTGCAGTGCCGCTCTGCACACGAGCAGTGTGTTTGAGATGAATTTATGTATTTTAAAAGGATATATTAGCTTCTAATGCCGCAGAGGATTGAATTAGTCTCCTTCTCTCGTCTAACATGTTGTACTTATTCTACTTTGTCCTTGACAAGCACTCACCAGCTTCCAAAGGAAAGCACTTTTTCTCCTCCAGCGACTCAGAAGACGACGAGGACAGCAAGAAAAAGTTCAAAATTAAGATCAAGCCACTGGTGGCGGACAGTGCCAAGTGTGTCCCTCCATCTATGGACGAGCTAAAAGCCTCAGTGGGAGGCCTGGCACTCTCTCCATCTCTGGTGAGCGCTGCTGATCAGCACTCTTGTTCTACTATACAGTACGAAAGGACACACACACACACACACACACACACACTGCAGTATTAGATCTTGTAATAGCTGTTGATTTGTATCACTTACACTATGACTCATATCTGTTTAACTCTCTCTCTCTGTTTGTCTTTTTTTCTCCTCACTTATCTGCTGTCGTCTTGTAGAGGAGAAGTCCGGTAAGCCTGTCACACATTTTCATCTTTGCATCACCATCAACAGATTGCATGGCATGAGCGTACTTAATGGAGATGCTCTATAAAGTGTTCCCTCCTATGATAATTCACTTACAAATTATGGATTCACCTTTTTCTGCATGCTGTCTCACCCTCAGTGTTTGTGCTCTTCTTAGGCCTTAAAAAAAATCACTTCTTTTTGTTACTTCAGTTTTTTTTTTCTGTTTAGCTACAGCTTTACTTGAACCTGTCTGGCAAAGCGTCTGTGTTACATAATGCACAGTAATCATAACACACACACACACATACACACACACACACACACACACACACACACACACACACGCTAAGCTCCAAACCTACTGATTTGGTCTCAGTGGAGCTTACATGCTGAGCGACCTGCCACTTGCAGCGTGCAGCTCTGTGTGTGTGTGTGTCGGTTGTAGGTGATGCTGGTACTGTCCTCGTAATCTCCGGGGTGTTATGGCTCATGTTGCATTATTAAGGCTTTGCGGTGAAAGTAAAGAGGTGCGGTGTGTGCAGTTTAAGTTGGTGTCCATTTTGACTGATTTGTCACTCACTCTCTGACCCAGGTCTGTTCTCTCTTCCTTTTTGCTGGTCTCAGAGACGCAGCCCGGTGAGTTGATCACTCCATCTGCTGGCTGCTTTGGAAGCAGACAGCCTGAAACAGCCTTGATAGCCTGACCTGTTTTAAATCGTGCAGTGCAGAATTTAACAGGATACTAAAATCCATCTTCAGACAATGTTGAGCAGAGTCTGAAATATTTTTCTTAGAACAAGTGAAACATTTATATATAGTATTTCCCATGCAAAATAAACTTCTGTTCAGGAAATTGAAAATGTTTGTAACTTAGAAAAAAGAAAAACAATAACAAAGCATTGAGTAGAAGAATAAAATGACAGGATGATCACAAATACACATTTTTTCACTCTTTTTTTTTAAATCTGTATCCTTAATTTGTCCTTTGTTTTGGATTGTTTCTTTTACAGGGACTGATAAAAAGGAATTTGTCCTGTAAGTACATCAGTTAGAACATCGTCTTCTCACCCAACCTCAGTCTCACAATGAAGCAGTGTATTTTTCCTGTAGACATTCGGTCAAACACAAGAATAGCAGCAAGTTTTTATGTTTCTCTTATAGGTGAGGAGATCGCCAGACCCAGACGCTCCACCCCTACTCCAAGTCCTGCCCCTGAGATGCTGAGGTCTGACCACAAACAAACTAAATATACTTTCCTATAAGTCTGTATGTTATTGGTTCCAGTGCAGATGTGGTACAGTGTGAATGGCAGAGCAGGAATCAACACCAATGCCAACAGGAAGTCGTCTTCATAGTCATAATAATCCTATTAGGAAAAAAAACTGACCAATCTGGCAGTTACTTAATTATAATCCATTTAGTTTTAAGCAGTCACAGTTCATTGTTGTCCTTTTCCTTTCGCAGTGACAGGCTCTCACAGAACGTCCCTGCCTTCTTTGGGCTGCCTTCAGAGACCAAATATGCCAGATATGATGGTCTGTCCCTCTTCACCAGTAAATAACTCAAAATAAATGAGACAGTAGTTTTACACTGAGGTGGCGCTGACTGTTTCTTTGTCATTACCTATTCACAGTGGTTCCTACTGACGTATGGGGAGACTCGAGACCACGGTCAGAATCACCGCTGAGCAGAAGTTTCCCGACAGGAGGTGAGCTTCATTGTTCCAGGAGTTACATCAGTGTATATTCATTCTGTGAAGCTGAACGGAGCTGAACTGTCGTCCTTGTTGCAGCTCCTCCTCCGCTTCCTCCAAAAAACATTCCATCGAGAAGTCAGTACGGCTATCCTTCAGACTCCGCTGGAGTCATTGCAGCTGATCTACCCAATGGAAGAGCAGCTCGCAGTTCAGCCCCCATCTACCTGAACGTCCTGTCCCCCGCCTCTTACCGAGGCTCCCCGGGCCCCGACCTGGACGACGTGTTTGGCCCCGTTGACAGCCCACGCACCAGCGAGGAGATGGTGTCACCCAGATGGGTCACTTTCCTTGATGACAGACCCCCGCCACCAGATGAACCCGCTCCGCCTCCGCCACCGGACTCTCCTCCCCCAGACACGCCCTCGTCCACGCCCTCCACCCCCTGCCTCTCTCCCGGACCGCCACCAAACGAGCCCCCGCCTTCGCCTCCACCTTTTTCTCCTGGGTCTCCTCCTCCTTTCTCGCCACCGGACTCTCCCCCCTCCATCGTGCTCGGACCTCCTCCTCCGGATGAGCCGGCCCCTCCACTGCCTCCTGACTTCTCTCCCTCTAATTCGCCCCCGATCTGCCTCGACGACGAAGCGATCGATGAAGAGGTGCTGCAGTTTGCAGAGTACTGTTCCTCTCCCGTCCCCATCAGCCCCGTGCCCCCTCTGCCAGCGGAGCGGAGGTCCCCTCGGCCAGGAGTCATTTCTCCCCTGGTCCTGGGGGGCGCAGGAGGAAAGAGGACTCCAGAGGGTGCGTACCTGAGAGATGATATCCCAGACTTCGTGGGCTCGCCCAGAGAGTTGACACCGAGCTTCAGGGGAACGCCACCTCCTCTCCCGCCAACCACCTACAGGTCTATTATGTCTTCCCCGGGGCCCTATTCAGGCAGCAGTGAGTACTCTGGGCTCTTTCTAAATGTTTATAATTGCCAATTATGCTGCTGTAATACTGAGAAACCTGGTGGGAAGAATATAAACTTTGTCCTGCTTTGATTGAAAAAGTGAGAATGATGCTGCCATCGGCGCCGCCAACAATCCCACAGAGAAGCCTGAATTGCAGATCCTCTCTGATCTGTTTACCTTTTGTTTGGTGTTAAGATGCAATCTGATCCAGCTACAGAAAACTCAACATCTCATGAAGAGCAGTAAATATAAACCTTGACATTTTTGAGAGAATTTTTGAACTCGAAAGCAGTTTTACAAGCTTGTAGTAACTGATATACAGCTGCGACCCTTTGAGTGTCTTTCCTTGCTGGGAGCAGGTGGTGGTGGTCATGGTCAATATGGCCTCTGAGCAGCAGGTACTTCTTCATCCTCTCATGGGGAACAGAGGTCAGACTTGATGCCACAATGAATCACTATGGCAACGTGGCATCATCAGATGAGGGCCGCGTCTAGCTTGTTAGCATGCTAACAAGTTCAGTAGAAGAAAAGAAGTGATAGAAATAGAAACAAAACAAGAGCTAACATTGGCGTGGCTTTCCAACTCTTGGCGAATAAAGGAATGAACTTGTCTCTTAAACTTGATTTCTCACCTGAAGTGCCAAATGTCCAGAGCTATGACTCGCCAGGCAATATCTTTTTTTTTTTGCCATTGTCTTTGTAATAACACAAGAGGTCATACAGCTCTTTATATGTCTCTTTATATAGCTCTTTATTTTTCTCAAGTAGTCTCTCCTCATCCATTGCACACACCCAAGAGACAGCGATAGGTGAGGAGAGGGAAGTTGAGCTGCTATGGAACAAAACGGCCTTTTCTCTGGAAAAAAAAAAAACCCAAACAAATTTTCCGGGGCAGGTGTGGGGGTTGTCCATAGAAAATAACAGGGGTAACTGATTTGACACATGCTGTTTGGCGGCAGTGTGTATTGGCCTTTAGTAGTGGTTGGCGGAATATTTGAAATAATTGTGAAATTGAAATATAAAATATGATATCACAGCTCTTCAGACAGTCAAACAGAGCTTTGTTGAGCTGACGGAAGAGAATGCAAATTGAATTTTCACAGAGCGCCACGCTCTACATAAATAGAAATGTTGTTGTTGAATAAAAAATCTCTCACTGTGATCTGAAGGCAGTGCTAACTACAGACACTGGTATGTGCCGCAGGCCCCTCGTCTCCAGCTCGTCCTGCCACGCCTCAGTCTCGAGGCAGCCCTGTCCCTCCGCCTCCTCCTCCTCGACCGTCCTCGCGACCAAAGCTGCCTCCTGGGAAACCAATCACAGACCTGGTACATGTGAAGTGTCCTCTCATTCCTCTCTTTGCCTTCCTCTCCTTTGACATTTCATTCTGTTTAAATGACATAGGTGAATGAATTCTTTCTTTTTCCTCGCTCTCACTCAGACGGCAGATTTACAGTATGTGTCTTGTCTCCAGACTCGGCCGTTCAGTCCGCCAGTTTCAGGCAGCCCCCCGCCTTTCGCCCCCCTGGCCCGGGCAGAGAGCTCTTCCTCCATCTCCTCCATTACCTCGCAGAGTGCAGCGTCCACTCCAACTTTAGGGAGGGACCTTAACCTGGCCACCACAGGTACACTGCCAGCAAGTCAACCTGGTCTTCTCATTTTTCTTTAGTGTCACATCTCAGTCTGAGTCCACGTTGTCTGTTGCTCATCATTGTGTCCTTTCCTCATGGTCCTTTCCCTCTCCATTATTCTCTCCTCATATCTCTGCTCTCTCAGAGGCCTCACAGCCTCTGGTATGGTTTGACCACGGCAGGTTTTATTTAGCTTTTGAAGGTGAGTCGAGCCACAAAACGCTACTGTAGTCCCACCAGTGCATGTACCGAAAGCACCTGCCCTGTTTCTACCTGTGGTCTCGTCCACGCTCATGTCCACGCTCATGTCCACGCTCATGTCCACGCTCATGTCCACCAAGCCAAAATATTGCTGCACACACCATCCCATGTCCTGCTCACTCACCTAGAATCCACATTCAAAATGGAGGGTTCAGTTTTGCTTTTGTTTGTTTAGACTCCCCTGTCCTCTGCGTGTAAACCATGGCTGAACTTTTGAGCAAACAAGGAACAACCGCAGAGTATAGATGTGGTTTAATGTTTTTTTGGGTTTTTTTTGCGTGTGTCTGTGTGTGTGTGTGTGTGTGTGTGTGTGTGTGTGTGTGTGTGTTCAGGATGCTCCAGAGGACCCAGTCCCCTCACCATGGGTCCCCAGGACACTCTACCAGTGGCAGCTGCCTTCACAGAAACCATCAATGCCTACTTTAAAGGCGCTGATCCCAGCAAGTACGCCCACATTTTCTCTTTTGGACAGTGTGACATTACAGATGCACTCGCCAGTTTATACAGTTTATGATTTTGTCACGAGTAGGAAGGTGAAGCACTTTTATCATAATGTGCTAATAAAGCGAAAGGAAAGATAAGATTTAAAAGTTTTTGGAGAGACCGAGGAGAAACTTTTATAGTGTCTTTTTAAAGACTAATAAGGTGGATGCGTTTCTGGTAGCGACACATACACGTTGCACTGCAACCTTCGATACTAAAGACATTCTGCAAGAGTATATTTTTGTTCAGCACAATGTCCGAGTTGTGCCTCTTCTCTCCCTCTTCCCAGATGTGTTGTGAGGATCACAGGGGAGATGGTGCTGTCCTTCCCCGCAGGCATAACCAGGCATTTTGCAAGCCACCCGTCTCAACCCATCCTCACCTTTAGCATCAGCAATTACAGCCGACTGGAGCAGGTCCTCCCCAATCCACAGCTGCTGTGCTGGTAGGAAAATGCATGCTAAAGCCTGACTTGCACACTAAACTATATGAACATAGGTCACGACGTATCTTCAGAAGTGTCAGTTACAAAAATCAGTTGATAAAGAACTGGAAAAGCAAGAACCACTGGTAATTGTTTATAATAAATAATGCATTATAATACAGTCAGTATCTAATTAAAGATTGTCTGAATCAAATATGTAACTCTCATCCCTTAGTGATTCCACAACAGACAGTGTAGACACCAAGGAGTTCTGGGTAAATATGCCAAACTTGATGAGCCATCTGAGGAAAGTGGCTGAACAGAAGCCTCAGGCAACATACTACAACGTGGATATGATCAAATATCAGGTATCGACCTATATACTGTATCTGTGTAGTGTATCTATCCATCCCTCTCTCTCTCTCTCTCTCTCTCTCTCTCACCGTCTTGTGTTTCTGTGTGTCTCAGGTGTCAGCAGAGGGGATCCAGTCCACTCCTCTGAACCTAGCAGTGAGCTGGCGAGGTGACGCCACCAACACGGACCTTAGAATAGACTACAAATACAACATTGAGGCCATGGCCGCCCCTGTGCCACTACACAACATCAACTTCCTGGTACCTGTGGACGGAGGCATAGCCAAACTCCAGGCCATGATCCCACCTGCCACCTGGTGAGGACTGCTTGTATTTAGGTGTTCGCAATGTTCGACATGGTTGTGCAGCGAGGTGAAGGTCAACCTAGGACAATCTCCTGCCCCTAGGAGCTATAGACATATACTGTCTTTATTTGTTTGGTGGAAATTGTATATAACTGCTGACGCAATGGCCAGTAATAGAGATAAGTATTAGTATATTGTTTTCTTTTTCTTTGTTAGCATGGGCATAGACCTAGGCCTGATTTACTCGCTATGGCTTAATGCATATCAGACAACATGCCTTCTGTAACGTGACAATGATTTCCCCATAAAGGAATCCAGAGCAGCAGACGATACAATGGAAGATTCCCAGCCTCTCTCACAGATCTGAAAATGGAGGTGGGTGTTTGTTTAACAAGGACATCTTAGAAGAATATGACAAAAACAATCAGCATCATCATATTCTCACTGTGTGCTACTGAATTTTAAAACCAAGAGCTCAGTTACAGTATGCAACTCTTTGCCGGTATGTTGTAGGTTTGTTGTCTGTGACAAGTTACTTGGTCAAGTCCCTGCCCCATCATTTGTCACTCATGTTGACAAGCTGCCAACTCTGAAACCATGTGGGAAATCCACGATCAATACCCTGTTTTTTAGTCTACAAAATGTACCTTTATTATCTTGTTACACCAAGTAGATCACTGGACTTACAGCTATCCGTGTCCTGCAGGAGTAGGGGCTCTGCTGGGCCGGTTCCAGATGACAGAAGGTCCCTGTAAACCCTCCCAGCTGGCAGTCCAGTTTACCAGTGAGGGAAGCACACTGTCAGGGTGCGACATCCAGCTGGTTGGCACCGGCTATCGGCTATCGCTGGTCAAGAAGAGATTTGCTGCAGGTTGGTTTGAGTATCAGAAATCTATGTGACTTTTGTCTCTTACTGTCTTTATTTTGAAACAAATTGATCGTTTTTCACTCCCCTGACATGTTTCATTTTGCTTCACAGGGAAATATTTAGCAGATAATTAGTGGACCTGTTTGTGAAGGGAATCAAGAGAATCAGTGGCTTTTGACTGTGAAGACAATGGATCCATCCCATGCTACGTGCATTTGAAACTCTATCTTTAGCATCCATTAGAATTAATGGTTGAGATTAAACAGAATAAGAGACCATAACACACACACACAGGATATTTGAATTTATAACATCATATTCAGTAGTCGGACTGCTGCTGAGTTTATGCAAGGTAATACAATTAATTAGTTTTGTGCAATTGGAAAACTTATGGGCTTACATGGAGTAAAATATAGGGAAACCCTGATTCTTTGTTCTTGTTAACATATTTGTGGATTCATACAGTGATCCAGCCTTATTCATTTCAGTTTCTTTTGTCTAACTGGTTGTCATTGCAAATGCACTGTAAAAGATAATGTGAATAGATTATATAATATTAGAACAATCTTAAACAAGGTGGAAAAGAATGGAAAATGTAAAAAAAAAAGGAAAAAAAAGATAAAGTGCAGTATAGGATTGCTTTGCATTTGTATTCTAATAAGTTATAGATTACATGGTAATATCTGATTTACACTGCCATCTCAAATCAGATTTTTTTTTCTCCACCATGTGTGGCCAATCTTTATTGTTGTCTGAGCAGAATTTGTGTTTCTGTTTAGATGAGCCTTGGACATGTCACAGCCCATTCTATCAGTCTTGATTGGTTGGTTCACAGTTCAAAATGACCTGCAGCACTGGACTAACATCAGCACACTTAATCTGAAGGTGCTTTTCGAGTGGAATTATATCTGTGCCTGAATCCTGATTGCATGATGGGACATTTTGAGCGAAGGAAAATGTTGTTTGCAAGCACATAAATTACATTTTGTAAAGAAATTGTCATCAAGGAAAGATTTGGTTTGAGCAAACAAAACTATTCAGTGCTCAATTAAGATGCTAGTTTATTATCTCCACATTGAATGCTTAAACTTTGCAGCCCATAGCAGGCAGGGGTTTTCAGCAAAAAAGTTGTAATAAACCTACTGTACTGTACCTGCCCATCACTAAACAGCAGACAAAGTTAACAACTACCTGGTGAACATAGTGGAGCATTTGCCTGCTAAAGAGTCGCATATTTCCCTCCAAAAACCAAAAACAGAGAGAGAGGATATTGCTAATGTTGCTACATATGTTCTGTTAGTTTACAAGTTCACCCTAACAGCTTAAAAAGTAACAAAATTATTTTTTTATTTTTAATTTTTTATGAATTACAATGATGATTATAATACTGTGGCTATGTACTTGACAATTAAGAAGGTAGCTTAGTTAGCTACCGCAGAAAATAGCTAGCAACCTGGCTAGTCGGCAAGCTAACAAAGTACAAACTAACTTTCAAACAGAATTTGAAAAAATGTACCCAACACTGTAGAAAACAATGATGTGTGGCTGTGGTGTTTACCAGTCTCGGTATTTCCCTTCTTTCCTGCTAACCGATAATTTTCCTAGCACTCGGACTGGACACAAAAAACTTAATGTTCTTATGTAGCTAATAGCTAACATACAAATTAATTTATTGCGCACACAATACATTTTTGTTTGCTCAAATTAAAATATTAGTCCTTGTGATAATTTCTCAACAAAATATATTTTATGTGCTGGAAAACACCTTTTTCTGTACTCAGGATTGAAGTACATTTATATTGCCATGCTTCCACACATGCAGCCATTAACACCACCTCTGATGGCATTTTGCCATTAACGGGTCATGTGAACACAGAGCCGATACCGGCAGTAAATCAGTCATGGCAGTTTGACCTGCTGAAGAACAAAAGCATTACACTGTGGGCAAGTGCAATGCTGACATACATCAAATTTCTCCCATCACAGGACTTTGGTATTTGTGGTGGGTCAGGTTTTACAACAATAAGGCGATACTTGTGTGAATAACCGAAGCTGCTACTTTCACTGGAATAGTTTGGGTAAATTATTCTGTTAAATGTTACAGAATGTGTGTTTGAAAGGGCCTTAAGATGTTATATACATGCGGAGCCAGATGTGAGTGCCATACCAAGGTGAAAAGGAGCTTTAAGTTTCAGGAGAAATACAGAGGGACCTGGGCTGACGATTGTAGGAGTTGCCTTCGATGCTGCTTAAAAACTTGGCCAGTTCCTATGACTGTGATCTTTGATAGAGGTCTTGACGAGGATTATTGGGGACATCTCAGTGTAATCAAAAGAAATGTCTATCAAGAAAACGGCACTATTCATGTCCCTGTGTTATTTTCCTCCTTTTCCACCGTGTTGAATAAATGTTTTATCATTTTCTAATAGCAATATTTAAAAACTTAAGTGTAAAAAGTGTACATAAAAAGCTATGTTTCAAATATTTCTCTGGGCATATGGATGTGTCTGTGATTGTCTCTTGGTTAATTGATGTCAGCACTCATAATGCATTAGGTTCTATGTAACAACACCACCACTCTCCTCATCTATTGTTTTACATGTGGGTTTCTTGTACAAAAAAAAAAAATATTACTGTTGACTAATAACTCCAAATGGTGCCGCATGAAATCTGCATTTGTCCATCACCAGTCTTATCAATGCAATACCAATTATCCATTTCAATAAGGTCATGATACGTGTTATTGTGTAATTGTGCAATGAGAGGAGACTTTTTGCCTTCACTTAAACCTCCACTCTCTGTTTTGCTGTCGATGCACCTTCAAAAGCTCATTGTCAATAAATTTGGCATGTGTTCATTGATATTCCCATTCCATGCATCTAATATTGGTGTTTGACATTCTCCTGTGTTTGACCTGCACACAAAACACACCTTAAATTTCATTCATAAAACAATTCATGGCTTCATGTCATATGTACACATGTTGATATGTGTTTGATCATCACATTTTATAGAATGTTTTGATGTGTTGACTCACAGTTTGGGCCTGGGTGTAATATTACATTTAGTTCTTAGAAAAAGAAAAAAAAAACACATGGTTCTTTCAGTTAATTGAGAGCAAAAATTCACAGTGTTTCTGTTAACAATGCTTATATTTTTCTTTGCCTTATTTTTGAGCATACACTAAGTCCTCCAATATCAGAGGATTTCTGTAAGTTTATTTTTTCTACAACTTTTTGGCTGTATTCCTTTCACTGTGTTAGACACAGAATATGCAAACATTTCATGTAAATTTCCCATCCAAAGATTTTGAAAGTAAATATATGAAAAAAATCAATATAATGTAATACCTGTTTTACTTGGTAATAAAGAAGAGGAAATATGATACCATTATCTCTCGCTCCTTTGTTCAAAGATACAAAAGTATATTTTCTATACATGTCACATTAAACATGAACATGTAAAATCTTACAAAGTAAAAGTATGGAAGAATTTCTTTGCCAAAATTTGCTTAAAGCAAGATCATGTTATTTTAGACAGTGACACATTCCTATTAGAGTAAATCACTAAATCTGATTTCCACTGTTTTTCCAGGTAGGTATTATTTTATTATTCAACATGATTTATTTAGAAGTTTACTAAAGCCTCAACCGGTTCAACTGCACCATCAAAGAGGCATTCTGACAAAATTTTGCTAGGCTAGTTCGGAAAGTAATCTAACAGCAAGGATCATTTAGTCAGTTTTTATTTATTTGTTTGTTTATTTATTATTTGCAGCATTAACATATCTATTTTGGCTTGAAAGACAAGGTTCAAAGTTAATTCCTGACCTTGGAAACACAAGACATAAGGATATGTCCTTAATGTGCCCTGAAAAAAAGGACATTTTAACATTTTCAATACATGATAATCATGGTGTGATCGAAAGCTCCGTCCATAACAGCTATTAAATAGACCTTTTTGACGATACAACTATTGTTTTCATGGTAAAAAACTATGTTTTTTTCTTCCAGATTCCATGGTCTTTATCAACAGATGGGGTGGTGAATAATGTATTAGTAAACTAACACGTAACCAAATGGAGATGACAACTGACAGCTGAGCATCTGCTGATCAGTTTAGGAAAACAATGAGATGTTGTCAAAGCTTTCGGGTAAAAACAAATATATAGCCTAGGAAGTGGTAAGTAAGTCGTGAGTGGACACGGAGTTGAGATTAGATGAACAGAAAAATAATTCTGATAATCAATTAATCGTTTCAATGATTTTTCAAGCAAAAATGTTGAAAAATGTATTTTCTCTAATTCTAGTCTCTCAGTGTTAGGATTTGCTGTCTCTCATAGTAGACGGAAAATCTCCCAGGGTTTGAACTGCTGTTCGGCCAAAACAAGACGTTTGAAGAGTCCCTGCGAAATTGAAATGGGCATGGACAATTTAATTAACAGTTAATTGAAACAACAACAACAATGCCCATTGGAATCGATAATGAAAATAATCGTTTGTTGCAGCCCTACTCAAGACTACTTTTAGTGTTAATTAATATCACTGTTGAAAATTGGACAAGAGGAAATTAACGGCTCATTTAGGCTACTGTATAGCATACAAAACACATGCACATAACTTAGTAGCCCGCGTGCATCGAAACCCCTCCCTCTGACTGATGTTTTGTAGTCGTCATGGCAACACCAAGCTCAGCGGGGCTGACTGCTTAGTCGTGCTCGGTTAGAGAGACCCTGAAATCGGTAAAAACGTGATTAATTTCCCTCAGTATTATTTCTGTACGCCCCATTTTGAGGCAATATGATCAGAAAAATTATAAACTACTTATCCAGTTAGCGTTAACGCACAGAATTATCCATTTACAAACGAACCAACGCGACTAGTTAACCTATGAGCTAGCAAAGTTAGAATAATTTTATCGTCACTGTCTAATATTGATGTATCTTCATCTCCAAAGCATCCCGAGTTAGACTTTTTATTAACGACGATAAGTGTTTGATTTAAGCTTGGTTATCATCCTGTAAAGGCGAGCTGAAGGAAGAGAAAGCTGCCATGTCTGATCCACTTAAAGACAAATCCCAAAGAAGAGAGAAGAGGACAGGCAAGGTGCCCTCAGAGGGAAGCCATGGAGTCAGAGGCAAGGAAACAACTGGCAAGACTAAGGAGTGAGTAGACTATGTAAATGACATGGGCCAGTATCAGTCTTGAATTTAATGCTTGTCATCTTCATTGATACTTAATTGGCATAGGTTGTGACTGATATCCAGAACGCATCCCCAATTCAGTGTATTTGGTGGAGAAGTTTTAGACAGCTCTTCTGTAATCATTACTTAGTTGGATGTCACTCGGCCAGAGTGTGTATACCCTTCTGTCATTTTCTTCAATCTGATCTTGCCTTTCAGCTCCATAAGTACTGTGTCATTCATGGATGAACTAGGACACCATGATGACAACGTTCGGATGCCTGTAACAATGGAGAACACCTACCAGATGGGTGAGACAACATTTACCTTAATGACAAACACTCATCACCAACTACAGACGTAACAGTCGTACAACAGGGATTTTGATTCTTTCAGCAAATTCAGTGCACTAAAATATCATATTCGGGCAGTAATTTGAAGTGATTTCATTTTATTCATTTCAATAAAATTATGACATTTTTAAAGTTTAAGCCTAGAGCTGCCAAATCTTAGTGTGTTCTGTTGGTTCATGTAGTATAGGAGCTGAACAAGACCAGAAACATGTCAAACCAGCAGACATTTTGATGGAATATTTATCTATTTTATGCACTTTATGTCCAAGTTCAAATCAATGCATCACCATATTTTCCACTAACCAAAGCTGTTGCAGGAGAAGTAAAATTTGTCTGTCTCTGTGTTGTTTTTTTGTTTTTTGGACCACAGGACCTTACAAACGCTTCCCTGTCCTCGCTGTCACAGACATACTGAAGGATGTACTCACCAGTTACCTCCAAGAAGAGAAATATGAAGTAGAGTGGTCTCAAAAAATGACAAAAACAATATGTGAGGTAAATAATGATAAACTCATTCATGCAGCACCTTTTGAAATACCTTTGAATTTCTGCTTCATCGAGGCTGATTCTTTTGATTGGCCCTCCCAGGTGATAAGAGCCCGAGTGAAGGATCTCATGATCCCCAGATATAAGATAGTTGTCCTGGTCCACATCGGTCAGCTCACTGGGCAGAGCATGCAGATCAACAGTCGCTGTCTGTGGGATGCATCTAGCGACACCTTCGCCTCTTACTCTTTCAAGAATAGCTCTCTGTATGGTGTAGCAACTGTCTACGCTGTTTACTTTGAGTGACTCATATACATTGCACATAGACTCATAAATACACAGGAATCATTTTACTTATGCATTTCTGATAAACGGTTATCATTCTTTATATATGTTGTTTATTTTGCCATGTATGAAATGATAAAACAAGAATTTGTAACCAAAATTCATGGTGTTTTTTTTATTTTTGCTATCATGGGAATTGAAATCACATTATCCTGACAATATTTTGAAGATTATATTTCAAACTAATGAACCACTGCAACAGATTGACGATGGTCTCCTTTGGAGGTTCCCCTCTAGCAGAGCATGGAGAGGTCACTCCTTCGACAGCCTAGTTGACAGCACACTGTTCTAATTGCTTGGTTTTGGTCACGCCAATGACGGTCAACCGCCGGCATATCTGTCATCTTGAGGAGGTTTGGCTCCTTGTTGCCTGCCAAGAGATATCAAAGTTTGTTTAAGTCAAGGCTGTTATTTTGTAATTTGGTTTAGAGTTGTAGTATTAACATTAAGTTCTAAAGGGAAATTCAAGTGACTGAGTACTTACCATCTGGCAAAGTGCCCTCTTCTCCCATCAGTCTTCTCCACCTGGATCCTCCACAGGTGTACACCACCGCTCGTAGAAATGCTCGGCCACACAGCCTCAGTGTGTTTGTGTTATCCTGTGTCTGAACCAGTGCTACACAGAACACACACAGCAGCATCGCAAGCAGGGGTAGGGATCTCATGGAGCTAAAAGACGCTGTGATACTGTACCAAGACACCTTACACACAAACACCGTCTTGTTGATTCTCTGAAAACATCTGCCGCCATCAATCCTTTTATGTCAAGTCTCCGGTGATGTCACACACTGTGCCAAGGTAAATTCTGAGGAATTGGCGTGTATTATCTTGGGTGACAATCATGGGCTTTTAACAACGGATGTCACTCTGGCCGTTTGGAATATGTGTGGGAATCTAGGCCATTGTGAGGATCATTGATTGACTGCATTTTCGCAAATGTTAAAGAGAAAGAATTGCACTTTTATGTCTGAACTGCAGGGTTTTTATTGCCATGGATTTAGTAAAGTGTCTCCTAATGAGATATGCCTCCTACAACAAACTGAGGTGATGGCTCTCTACATAGCAACATAGTGGAGTGTGTGACTACTATCTTGATCGTAGATCAGTGATTCCGAGAAGAGACAGTTGCATTTACCTGTGCACTTGTCAAACTGAACGGTCATGTAATAACGTTGACCTCAAAATAACCATTATGGGCCCATGTCTAGATATAAAAGGTTGGGCTGGTAACTAAAATCAAAAACATAGTTTGTATTACGGTTATATCTTTCTTCAATTAATGTAACATTTTGAATGTCACTCCGGTCATTTGCTCTGTATCACTTAAAATACTGATTACATTCTGAATGAGAGTGTCCTCCATGGCATCTGGTGGCCAGAGACCCCAGTAACTTACCTTACTTGTTTGACATTGTACAATCCTTACAATCTAGTGCTTTACGTACACATTTTACTTTTAATTCACCTTTGTACTCAAGGTTCTCTATCCATCGAGGGTTTAACTTTAAGTAAGTCAGAGCTGAGGCACTTATCATCTGAGGCACTGTGACAACTGTGGCAGAAACCGCCTGGCAACTGGGAATACTCTGATCAACAAACATGTAGGTAGTGCAAGAATTAGTTCCAAATATGATGATTATTTGAGTGGAGTTAGTATAATGAAGGGGGATATTACTGTTTCAGCCTTTTACTCTAAAACCATCATCAGGTAAAGGTGTTACAAAACAATAAAAACAACAGGTGTGCCTGCTGACTGCTCAGATGCATCAATTAGGTTAATGATGTGACAAGGCTAAACTCTGTATACACACATATATTAACGCACACTTGATTACCACAATCATTGTTAATGGTATTTGTAGTATGTGCCCTTCCTGCTATGGCAAGTACAAATGTTTGCTGGGATGACAGAAATTAGATGTTTGAATTTGTTACATGATTTTAAATGTTAATACAATGAGTGAGTTCCCTTAATATCGAAATAAAGCAGCATACAGTGTTGTCTGTTTAATCAGCATTACTGAAGTTACAGTATATACAACAGCACCTTTGGATACTACACTACAAGAGTGTAAAGTCTTGCAATATATAATATATATGGAATATGTCTAAAATACACCGTATAGCAGCTTTTTTTTTAATGCTCAGTACATTGTTCAAATCTGTATCTGCATCTAAAGGTATGCAATTGTTTTTATGAATATAATCTTACATACGTAGCCTACTGATCATGATAATACACGGACCCTCCACGCTTTGGAAGCATCATGTTCTTGATACTGCAGGTGGGCGGGGCTCTACATCCGGGAACTGCCGCTGACCCCTGACGTGACCCTGCAGGATTGCAAACATGGCGGAGGTAAGACAGTGAAATAAATATTCGAAAAAAATAAATTTACACTGCTGGATAGTTTATTCAGTCGAATGTGTACATCGTTTGAGTGTTGTAGCTTTAATACACGAAATTAAGAATCGGCTGTTTGCGTTGCTAGATAATAGCAATTTCTTGACACAAACATGTTTAGTAAACTTCGGATTTAGCTAACGTTAGCTGCGCTAGCCCAGACGGACGGGAGCTGCGGCGTTAGCGATGTTACTTCGCGGTTTTGTTTAACAATACTTAACTACCCATATTAACGTTTTCAATTGGACACATAGCGATAGTTTCACGGTTAGAGATATTTTATGTGTTGTTTTTTAGCCATTATTCGCAGGTGGTTAATACCAAGCGTAACTTGAATGCGTTAGCTAAATGTATAAAGGAGAATTAGCTTGCAACTTGTAATGTAAGTTAGCCAGTGGAGTAAATTAACCTAGTAACCACTCGCCTGTTGTGCAAAGCTAAGTGTGGTTGAATGCAGGCGGTAAACACCACTGTATCAGTGCTATTCACATAATTGAGCTGCTGCCTAAATTTTCCCGCAGGAAGTGGCGACAGTCTTCTTTGTTTCTTTTCTTGTTGAACTGCAGTCAGCTTATAGGGAACAAGGTCGGGCGCGCTTTTTCTGAATCCCCATTTATGCCCCAGCCCCTCCGCTAAAGTAACTCGAGTCATTCATGTTATGTACAGCAACGAACCGTTTCTAATTGTATATCTAATGAGATATTTGCCTCTGAAGCTGTTGTTTAACTTGATTAATGTTGTTCTTTTTCGTTTTCCAGCCCTCCCTCGGGAATTCGAGCCCAGGTACATAAAGTTGGAGTCTTTCTGTTGTTGTTTGTGTGCATGCCTGTTGTTGTACAGACTTGCATCTAATACGTATTAAATTTAACACTTACAATCATGATTGTTTAAGAAACACTAAATGCGTAAATAAATATATATTTATCTACAAATATACAAGAGATTTTGACATAGTGTTTATACTATGGTATCAGTCTATTTACTATCTCTGGCTCTATTAAGCCATTGTGGGTAATGCTTTAAATCAGTGAGTGTGACTGCATCGTGGTGATGCTCGATTTAAATGATTTTTGCATCAGTTTGACAACGTGCTTTGATTATTGGTAGCAAATTCCCTGGATTTGTCAAAACAGATATTGCAATGTGTTTGAAAGAGATTTATCCAAACCGCCCACCCCTGCACCTGAATATATCTTTAATCTGATTATACAAAAAATACAGATTTTTATATGTTATATAAATACTTTTTGGATTTGTTCATAATTCCCCTAAATAAATATTCAAATTTAGAGTATCTCTAATTTTGGGGGTTACTTTTCCAGGAGGTTCAGCAGGTTCCGATGACCATGATTTCGACCCATCAGCAGACATGCTTGTCCATGACTTTGACGATGAGCGCACCCTGGAGGAAGAGGAAATGTTGGAGGCAGCTGACGAGACCAATGCCAACGAGATTGAAGATCTTGCACGGGTGAGTTTCAGGCTTTCAGCAAATATTTGGTTTTGTCAGCTCTATCTGGTTAAAAAAAAAAAAAGAAGGTGCTTGCTTCCTCATTTTCTTTTAGAGTAAGGAAAGAATTGTCACTTTTCTTTTACAATAGGAGGGAGAAATGCCCATTCATGAGCTGCTGAGTCTGTATGGTTACGGGGGCGGATCAACAGCAGATGAAGATGAAGAGGAGGAAGAAGAAGCTGAAGAAGAAGATGATGACGAGGAAGAAGATGAGGAAGAGGACCTTGACAATGACGAAAGCAGCAGAAGCACTGGCGAGTTGAAAAGAAATGAGGTGTGTTAGTGTTTGTTGAGTTTCTTGACAGTGATATGGTGTACAGAAACGTAGTGTATTGTGTGGTGTTCATTGTTTTGTGTAATTTCAGCAGCATTTGTAACCTTTGTGACTTTTATATTTTTAGGGTGAGGGTGTTAAGAACTCATCAGGACAGGGAGAAGAGGTCCAGGCAACCTCTGAGGGCCGCACACGCTCTGTCAGGTCCCTCGGAACAGCGGAACTTATTCGTCCCCAGAAATTAATGTATTTTGAAAGTATGTGCTATTTTATCTTCTTTCCTTTTGTTGCAGCCTCATTGTATGTGCTGATGCGTGTTTTAGAAAACACTGCGGATTTCCCTGTGAGATTTAGCTGGTTAAATGGATGTCACATTGTGTCTTAGGCAATAACGATGCAGAGGAGGAGTCAGATGAAGATGAGGACTATGTTCCATCTGAAGACTGGAAAAAGGTTTGTAAAAACTTATTTATCAGTGTTAAACACTTGTGCTGTCAGATTACAGCTGGATTTATGCTACACTGCCAAAGACGTGTTAAAACAAAAAGCATGGTTGCTTTGAAATGCTGAACGTCTTGATTTGCAACATAAGCATTGTCCATTTTCATGTTTGTCCAATCATTTTGACTTTTAGAAATAGTCTAAACTGTGTATATATTCCCAACAGGAGATTATGGTGGGTTCCATGTATCAGGCAGAAACCCCTGCTGGCCTGTGTAAATATAAGGACAATGAAAAAGGTGAGCGGGTCAACATCTACATATTAAAGTCATAACACTTTGTGGGTTACACAAACAATACACAGGGTAAACTAAACTTGGTGTAGTGGATATACGGTTGATGTCTCATTGCCTGTTCTCTGTGAATTTGTCCTGTAGTTTATGAAAATGATGAC